ACTTTTGAGGCCCCTACATGATAAGGCTTGGAGTTTCGGACAAGGGGTCTTGAGCCTCATTGGCTGATTCGGTTCCGAAGCACTCGAAGGACTTTGGGAGGCTTGTGTGCCGCAATAGCCGATAAAGCCTGAACCCGTCCCTGAACCCTAAACCCTAAACCCTCAACCAAAAATCCGAAACCCTGGCGAGGAGGCTTCAAGAAATCTTGCCAAGACCAGCAGCTGCTCATGCACATAGCTCAGAGTCGCGCGAAGGGCCTGCACCAACCGCTCCTCCTCTCCTGGCACAAACGGACGTCTACGGCCTGATGGTCTGGAGTTTCCGGGTTTAAGAAATAGGGCCGAAATAACTACCAACACTAGTTTGGGGCTCCTTATTATAACTATACGATAATGCACGCCAAAACCATACTCTCATTATTAAGGCCCCTACAGTAGGCGTGCTTTGATGGTTGAGGTTTGACCAGTTGGGCTTCAAGGTTCGGGGTGCAGTTCATGATAAACACTGGCTGCAACTCGCAAGTAGAAAGCGGAGAGGGGTCCCTCTGGCATTCATCTGTAGCAGTCTACGGCATCCACGACATGGTGTATGTAGGTTGGTTTATGGTGGTTCAATGTGGTTCAGACATGTATGTAATATATATATATATATATATTTTTTTTTTTTATACATACTCTCCTGGTTTCTGCTACTCAAAAAGCGTATGTGCTACGGCATTCTAGGGTAATAGCACCACCACCGACCCGACCATCACCGCCACTAGCAAAGACACCAAAAGGAAAGAAGCAGCAATAGTGTATTTAATCGTGGTCGCCACTGAAAGCTTCGCGCCGTCGCAGCTACCAAGAAGCAGAGGAAGAAAGGCAAATATCAGTAGAGAGACGCGCAAGCAGAACAAGCGGAAACCCCTAAACCCTCGACCCCAACCCCCGCCCCTAAACCCCGAAACCCTAACCCTAAACCCTAAACCCTAAACCCTAAACCCTAAACCCTAAACCCTAAACCCCGAGACCCTACACTGCCGGTAGTGGGTAGCAGTCCTTGGGCCACGAGGCTCGCGCAGAAGCTCGCCCTTGTCAAGACCCAGCCGGGCCGCTCCGGGCCGAAGTAGCCCAGGAGTCCCTGCAACTAGCGTTTAGGGTTTGGGGTTCATGGTTTAGGGTTTTGGGTTTAGGGTTTAGGGTTTAGGGTTTAGGGTTTAGGGTTTAGGTATCGTACAGTATCATGAAATATTGTATAAATATAGAACACTATCGTATCGTACAGTGTAGTGTAGTATAGTAGCCGGACAGGGAGGATGTTGCCGGAAGCTCCGCGTGCGTTCCTCTCGCGTTCTGGTGGACTTTCTGCAGGACTTGAAGGTAGGAACAACCCTAAACCCTAAACCCTAAGCCCTAAGCCCTAAACCCCTAAACCCTAAACCCCTAAACCCCTAGATCCCTAAACCCTAAATCCCTAAATCCCTAAATCCCAAACCCTAAACCCTAAACCCTGAGCCCTAAACCCTAGACCCAAACAGACAGATGCATCAGATGGCTGGTCGGTTCTTCCCCCAAAGAACTTACTCCCTGGCTACTAGCAGGGAATGGGGGATATGGATGCCTATGATGGTAGGGTTTAGGGTTTAGGGTTTAGGGTTTGGGGTTTATGATAGTTCGTCAGAAGGTCCCCTATGTAGTAGTCCCACTAACACGGGTCGTTGGACCGGAAAGGGGCAGCCAAGTAATCGTTGCACTGGCTCCGGCCGGACAGAGCTGGGCATCGCCACAGGGTTTCGGGCTTCGGGTTTTGGATTTAGGGTTTCCGGTTTAGGGTTCAGGGTTCAATACGGTTAAGTGCATTCACATTGCCAGCTGGATTGCAGAGGAGGGTCGAGGGCTGAAGTGCCAGAACCAAAACACTCCGATGCTTAAGCGTCAAGGCTCCGGGTTCGCAACAACCATCGAGCCTGACTCCAACTCTCTACTTGGAGGATCATGGGACTTAGTAAGTAAGGTTCTAAGTCCCCTAATTGGGGTTATGAGTATAGTTACCTTAATTATAACCCTACTCACTAAGTCCCATGATCCTTTAAGTAGATAACCATAAGCAGTCAAGAACCCAGAAACTAGGCCTCCTCAGTGTGCTTCCACAGGGTTTAACATAGGGACAGGAGTTTGAAGGCCTTAAACCCCAGAACACTCCGGCAAAACGAAGCCGACGAAGGACACTGCAAACTGAAAAGAGCTCGATCACAGCCGTCCCATGCACGTCTGGTGATCTGCAGGAACTTGGCGTATTGACGCTGCCTACACAAACCAGGACAAGTATTTAATAAACCCCAATACCCTAAGCCTACAGCCCTAAACTCTAAATCGTAAACCCTCATACCCCCAGCAAAGCGTTTCCGTGCCTCTACCAAGCCCTCGTGGTCTCGGGAGTTGACCCTGGCCAAGGCCTGCTTGCTGCGTCTGCATTGAGGGCTTGGGGCTTGGGGGTTAGGGTTTAGGGCTGAGGGTTCAGCAGCTCCGGATCGAGCAGTGTTATAGCACAGTTGTGCTTACGGTGTTAATGTAACACCCACCCAGAGAATCCCATAACATTCAGAAAATATTCTTTGAACCATATAGGTCGGCTCAACAGTTTCTATTCAACAATGACCTGTCTGCTTTTGTTCGGAGTGCTATTTTTTGGGTTCTGACTGCTATTTTGGGGTTCGGGCTATTATTTTTGGTTCAGACTACTATCTTAGGGTTCGAACTACTCTTTTAAGATTCTAACTTTTGTTTTAGGGTTCGGACTACTATTTAGGATTCGGACTACTATTTTAGTGTTCGGACTCATATTTTAGGGCCCGGACTATGATTTTAGGGTTCGGACTACATTGTTAGGAATTGAACTGCTATTTAAAGGTTCGGGCTACTATTTTGAGTTCGGACTAATATTTTAAGCTTCGGACTACTGGTTTGGGATTCGGGCTACTATTTTAAGGCTCGAACTATTGTTTTCGGGTTCGGACTATTACTTAATATGCGGACTACCATTTTAGGGTTCGACGACTCTTTGGCCAATGCCGACGAGTAATTGGCCAATGCCGGCGAATAATTGGCAAAGGCCCGGGTTGAGGGTTTAGGGTTTAGGGTTTAGGGTTTAGGGTTTAGGGCGAATGATTGACAAAGGCCGGCAAAAGCCCGGCAAATAGTTGGCGAGGCCGGCGAATTGTTGGCCAAGGCAGGAGAATCGCTGGCCAAGGCCGCCGAAATCATTAGGCTTTAAGTTATTCTGCGAAAGAGAGGTTTAGGGTTTAGGGTCTAGGGTGGCGCATGAGCGACAGCTACCACTATGAAGCCTGGTTCCGAAACATTCACTCACTTACGACTGTTGATCTGCGACTCGGGGGTTTATAACCCCCACGGCGCCTCCCGGCCCTCCTCAACCCTTCTTCTTTGCAAAATACAACAAGGAAGCATCCGAGGAAGCCTTCTATGCCGGAGCTTAGGATGAGGGGCTTCAGGGCCTGCAGGGTCTCCAGGCCATCAAGCTGTGTTCAACGGATTGCGCTTTCCGGGTTTAAACCATCGGGGAGAAACGGGAAAAATGGCGAGCGTCGGAATGCGGACAATGGCACAGGCGAGGCATACTTGTCTGTTTGTCCCCGCTCAGGGGAGTAGGGTTTGGGGCTGGGGGCTGAGTGCTGTGAGTTCCAGGCTCAGGGAGAAAGGCTCCAAGACTAATCAATGCGAGCAGACCGCAAGCGAAAGTGATATCGGGGTCAACATTGTCATAACCGTCACCACCCCAAAGCTAAATTCCAAATCTCTACCAACCTACCACCTCGTAATTAATCGGCTTTCACCCGCCCGGTCAATCGGTCAACTTGAAAAAACTCATACAGCAGTATAGCAACCCCAAAGAAACCCCTAAAGAAAAACTTGAAGAAACTCGTAAAGGAACCCTTATAGTACCCTTAAACCCAAAGAAACCCCTAAAGAAAAACTTGAAGAAACTCGTAAAGGAACCCTTATAGTACCCTTAAAGAAACCCTTAACGACACCCTTAAGGGAACCCTTATAGTACCCTTAAGCGGAACCCTTCTAGGAACCCTTACAGTACCCCTACCCCAAACCCTACACCCTAAACCCTAAACTCTGTATGGTTGTGAGATGGCCAGTATCTCAGACTCATCTTTTAGATGTTTAAGAGGTAAATCCAACAAAGCAGTTTGGGGGGAGCATTCGCAGCGTAATCATTATCTTGCCCCGCTGGTTGCTGGAAGCCACATCTATGAAGCTTGGCTGATTGTTTTCAAAAAACGATGGCAGACACTGCGTAGAATTTGGGTTTCCGTGCCAGATTTTGCCACGAAGTGGAATTACTTTGTAGGAGTCAACGTTTCCAAGGGTATGGGGCCTTTGTCACAGTTTCTCCCGGACCTGCGGTTTCTGGGGTGGGAGCCTCAAGCCCACGGACGTGTTGCCTTGCCCGACGGTGATACTTTGCACGTGTATTTTTCCAACTGGTGTTTGGTCTGGGGCAAGTTGTTAAAGGCTTGGGAGACGCATGTCTGTGCTCAAGTTCAGTCTTGCAAGGGTCTTCTTGGTTTAGAGGGTTTTTCGGTTGTCCGTGTGCGGTCCCGGTTGGAGCCTAAGCATGGGTATAACGCGCATGTTGCCAACTATGCATGTGGGGC